GTGCCACACGAGCACCTGCAAAACAAACGCGTCGCTAGCTGCAGCAGCCGCGATGTTTTGCGGGTACGTACGTGGTGGAAGTCCGGAAATCGCTCACTTCACTACAGATGGTGTGTCGTCACTACGACTTTCGTTGCCCTTCTAACAGAGCTACGTCAGTGTTGAATGCGCTCGCGATGGGCCTCGACTGGAAGAATGAGCATTAGCTACACCGAGGAAGTGACCTGAATTATATTCTAAATGTTTCATGAGTCCAATCATTGATTTGTGTGGAGTGTACTTGTATACAGAGAAAACCCACATCATGCTTGCTATAACCTTGAAATTTGATGGCACCATCTCATTAGGAGCACTGGCTGGCGAACAGTTCACACTAGTACCACGCAGCTCAAACAGCAAGAAGTAACAACTGTGACAGTGGTTAACTTACACTTATCCTGTGGATACATGTGTGTCCTTTTCTAGCATCCTTTTTGGTGTTTAAGCGGCATGCTTTCAGTGTCAAGGTGTGGCAGTTGTTCATTAGCACTCATCCTATGTGAGTTTTAAAGACGATAGTCTTTCTTGGGACTTTCGATGAAAAAATTTTGGTCTGTCTGTACATTTGTCTGTTTGTCCGCTTTAACGATACCTCAAACGGCACTGAACAGCCAACCCAATCCGCAGTGCCCACCAATATTGCGCAAGATTTCGCATTCATAATTGTGTGATTGTCAATTAAAAAGCAAATATTGCGCATATTTGAGGCGCCATAACAGCATGTCTTATTTTGTATGTCTGCCTTTATACTAGAAGAGGCACACACAAGTAGCTCTAAGGACTGTAGCGTTTAACGCGCTGCACTGACAGTGCAACGCGATGCTCAAGAAGGTGTTTCCAATGCTTTGCTACGATGGCACGGTGGTGGCACCTGCCCGTTGCTTTGCATTCTACACCTTATCACCTCCGTGACTGGCGCGCATCTTTCCCAGCTGTCGTGCACGCCTTTGTTTTCGAAGATAACTGCCAGATGGCACTCATGCCTAACGTGCCTAGATGCGCTTGTTCGCCTGCGTTACACGCTCGAGGCACTCTAACGCAGCGCCTCCAGAATACCATTCACCGATTTTCTTGCACAGAATATCAAATAAACGTTTTGTTCACTCTCTCCAGATGCAAGACTATCGTATTTCGACGACATTTACAGTGTAACATGTAGATTCGGGCAAACTTTTTTTCCTGTGTCCTTTGATGTATCGAGCTGCTTTCCCTTCTTCGTGTTGTGACATTCCAACTTTTTACTATCGGATTCACTGCTTTCCCTCGCTACAAAACTAACTTTTTTTTCTTCTTGTGCATTTTTGCCAAATGGGACTATTGCACTCGCACTGCATTACTGCTTTGAAAATAGGGAGCTTGACAGGTTGACAGACCGATCTACTACATTTAGAAGGTCGCAATGTGAATATGAGAGTGCACTGCTCACGAGAAAGAGAGAGAAGTAAACGTTTACTTTGAAACAGTGCCCCGAGCAATGCCCGGTGTCACCCTAAGGTGGGAGGGCTCCTTATTCTAGGAACCCTCTGGCTTCTACTGCCCTCTTGGCCCTGGCGACGAGTTGTTGTTGGTCTTCTAGGTTCTCGGGAACGAAATTCAAGAATTTTCAAGTACGACGGAAAAATTCCAGGACTTTCAAGGGCCTTGAAAATGCGTTTTTCAAATTCAAGAGTTTTTAAGCATTTCAAGGACCTGTACAAACCCTGATTCATGAACGCCGTCAATCGGTTACAGCGAACGCAGTCGGTGCTCTGGCGGCTTCCCGGGAAACCACTTTCGACCACCATGAGCCATCAGCGAGGTACTCATAGATTCTTAATGTTAAACACCATCCCTGCCTCTGTAGCACTTTAGTTGTCACTCTCCCTGAACATTTTTTGTTACGCACTCCCCCTGTCCTTTGTCCTCCCACTATTCTGAGCACACCGCGTCGCCAGACGAGGCCGGTGTATTCACACTGCCACCGATCTTTTGAAGATTGGTCGGCTGCTTAATCTCTTCCAGATTTAAGTTGCTGGTCTTGTTGCACTATTGTTGGCGTCAATGGGTTAGGGAGACCGGGCCACACGGCAACACTGTCTGCCGCCGACTGTACCCAATCGCCGGCATCTGTGTCTTGCCTGCCTGGATTGGTGTCTTATCACTCCAGTGCACGTACTTGCGCTACCCCATCAACTTATGATTACTTGGGATTCATTCCATGGTTAGGTCCTGTTCTCACTCGCATCACACTCAGCTCAGCAGGCCTTCCGCACACGTGCAAAAGCGTGAAAATGAATGTCACACAGGGAACAATTTGTGAATAATGAAGTTAATGAGGCCGCACAATCCTGCCTGCGCCACAATGCGATTCTGGGACATTTGCGCACGCAGGCCACCCTCCAAAGTTTTTCTACTTTCGAGCAAGCTACCTGACCTGTCTACTTTCCTCGTGTTTTGGTTTTAAAGGTCGTCTTCTCACCGTATCCTCCCCTCTCTTCACTCTATAGCAATTCCTTGACCGGTCTCCACCGCCCCACGATGCCGGCCATGCTGGCTTGAATTCAGAAGTTTCTTTTTTGGCTAGAAACAGGCCCAGATCTGTTCTTTGCGTCCTAGCTTGTATGTCGAGCGTGAACATCTTAGCTCCCTGTTGGTGTGCGTTTGTGGTCAGGATGACGGACGGGAGGCCTTCCACGCCTTTTTCTGCTGGTCAACACTTTGTCGAAGGTGCAAACAGTAGAGCTTGGACGTAATTTGCGCATTTAAGATTTAAATAACACGTTGTGCAGCGCTTGCTCATAGATCTTGACTGCCCGGCAGCCAACTTGTCACTTCGGGTGGCTTTGTATTAAGTAGTGGAAATGATGAATGCTTCGTGGATGCAGGTAACAATTACAAGTGTGCAAACTGTTCCCGCAAAGTCAACTTTGCCAACGTCGGACCCGATGCCGAGCCTGAAGTTTCCGAACAGGAGTAATCAGGCGGTGATTTGTGGCAGTGCATCGTCAACTCCGGCATGAGAGGATGGGACATCTGCTGAGATGATTTCACTACGACCATTGATGATGCTAACATTGTGAAACTGTGCACGAATGAGGGCATTGCAGATGAAGTGTGCCGCAATAGGGATTTGGAGGAATCTGATGATGACGATGACGAAACTTTGTGAAGCCAATGCTTTACGACAGTCGACCGCTGAAGTCGCAAGGGCATAAGCACAAGCTGAACAATGCGCTTGCGGAAGTGTGCCTTGACACTTATATTTATTTCCTGATCGAGGGGTGGCAGCACAGATGTGCAGTTTGGCAGAAGGTACTCAAGGCACACATTAGTCGGCTGTACATTGACAATTTGGGCCAAGCAGTTATCTACTATCAATAAAATGTTCCATCGTTCTTTTTTTTTTCATCTTCTTATCCACGGTCAGGAGCCACTTTGTAAAGAGCTCTCGAGTAATCCAGGCTTGTTTGTTTGCCCTGTAATCGCATGGAAGGGACACTAGACTCTTCATGCAGCGCGGTTGTGCAAACTTTCCAATGATGAGAAGCATAATCTTCTCCGTGCCAGTTGCATTGCAACCATACAGAACAGTAACACGAACCTTCATTTTTTTGCTGCCCTTGCACTCTTCCCCCTTAAAGTGCATAGGCAGGCCGTCTTATCGGGATAGAATATATCGGCCGCACTGTGTGACTCTATTACTTCCCAAAACTTCTCTTCCCGCCACGTGGATGCTACGGCTTCGTCTGCTCTTTTCTCCTCACCAAACACAGCCTGCCAGGTGATCACATTTTGCTGGTAAAAACGGTGGAGCCAACCAGAAGATGCATCAAAGTCTTTTACATTCAAAATTGCAGCAAACTGTCACGCCTTCTCCTGAATCAGTGGGCCCGACACAAGCACATTCTGGGCTCTTACGTCATTGAACCATGTGAGCACAGAAGTCAATTGGCTGGAAGTCATCGAGCTGCAGTCACTTCCTTGAAGGGGTAAGTAGCGACTGATCCTGGCACTTCATTATTTCGACTTTATCCTTTAGGATCGTGGCAATTGTGGAACGCGCCAGTCCAAGTTTTTTGGCCACAACAGCTTGCTTGTTGCCTTCTTCCAGGTGGCAAAGAATAGCGCTTTTCTTGCTCGGTGAAAACTGTTTCCGCTTCTTTGTCGCAAGCATAGATGAACCGCAGCCCGAACGCCGACTTGCTTTGTGGACTGCAATAAGTGAACACCGAAAAGAGATGGACACGACTGACAAGGTCTAGAGCACATGTAGAAGTGATAAAGAAAAAAAAAAAACTCGAAGTGTCGTGGCTGTCATCGCCTCTTCAGAAGAAAATAAAGAGCTAAAAAAAATTTCTCCCGCTTCGTTTTCTGCTTCCTCATCTTCCACACCCATGCTTCCTGGTCAGCAGCTCCCATACTGGCTCACTGACCTTGCCCTCCCGTGTTGCCCTCGCCCCTCACCTCTGTGCTTGTAAACCTGCAGCGTCAACATTTGAATAAAAAGAAAGAAATAAAGGTCATCTTTTCATTTTCGTTTTTTTCTCTCCGCACCGTCGCGCGTCTTCCGAGAAACAAGGAGTCTGTTTGCTGTGTCATCTGCTTGCGTAGCGCTCTAGTGGTCCCGACAGATTTCAAGACATGAGTTCATAGTACTGAGTCGTTGTTAGCATAACGAGAAACTAAATATAGCACTCGTTATTTTGAAAAGTTCAGTATTCTGAAGTACGCAGTAGGGAAGTAATTTTACATTGAAACTGTTAGCATTTGGCATGGGATTTTTAGAACTTTGTTAATTTGAAAAGTTGAATGAAAAGTTGAAAATGAACAATGTGATGTTCATTCTACCGAAATTTCACTGTACAAAAAAAATTTTAGAATCTAAGCAGAGTAGTGCCTTATGGACATCATCGGCACTATGTTAAAACATACACCTGAATATTTGATGACTGTCAATGGCAGTGTGTGTCCTGAAAGCTCACCTGCTTGCAGGCCATCCATGGGAAGGATTCGCTGACCCAGCATTTTGCCATTCTCATCATAGACGGCAATCCGGATCACAGCGAGATCTGGAAGAACTACCTGCACAAACAGCAGCAAATATCCATTCAGTTTTGCAGTTGTAAACCGAGCAGAGCTCTATGTTCAAATATTATTGAGACAAGACTGGATTCCAAGAGAAGGCAGGCGCATGAGAGGGAGACAGAAAATCAGGTGGGCAGATGAGATTAAGAAGATTGCAGGTATAACGTGGCAGCAGAAAGCACAGGACTGGGTTGATCGGCAGAACTTGAGAAAGACCTTTGCCCTGCTGTGGGCATATCATAAAAACCGGAATATAGATCAGACAACAATATAGGTCGACGCCTCAAACTTTGAATCTCTGAAAATGAAATTTAAAAAAATCGCAAAGTATCGCGGCGCACCTTTACCTTGGTAGCTATGCGACACAACCAGCCGCACTGTGGTGAGATTTCTTTTTATTTGGACACTAATCCTATGTAGTTAAACACCAGAAGGCCGCAAAGTACTGTCACTCAGACTCCACCACCATTGTTATCATCCATCACTTGCGGCTACTGATTTGGTTGATAATATGGATGAAGGGTCACTCTGATTAGGTACCAAACTGGCCAAGCACGAATAAAATGATAAGCATTGGAATTGGAAAAAGCATCGCTCCGCGGTAGCACCCAGCAGGTGCGGCAGCTGCGTGAAGGAAACCATTAACTGAGCGACTGAGCTTCAGCGTCGAATCGTATGCGGCTCGAAAGCAAGCCAGTGACAAAAGCAGGGCAGTCTCATTCCAATCGCTATCGAGCAATGGCGGCGCTCCTGCTTGCTGAAAGCAACGGTTTCTGGTGGTGCCAACGCCTGTTTTAGACTTAGTCGACGTATTTTAAAGTCCTGAAAATGCATCCAAGTGTTAAAGATTTGGTTTCCTGAATAGCAATATACATATCTGAGCCTGGAGCTGCATCGTGAAATTTTGTTGAAGCGGGACGGCAGAAAAAGAAGTGTTCATTGTGGCAAGAATATTTACGCATTGACTCCTATAGACTGCTGACGGGGAACCGTAAATTTTTTGTTGTGGCAGAAATTTCCTTGAAGCAGCGTTCATTGTAGCGGGGTGCGACTGTACCGTTTATTGGTTGGTTATTATGGACACAGCAGTACAAGGGAAGTGCAGCAAAATATTTTTCCATAAAAGGCCCAGGTCGATTCCATGACACCTAATATGATTTAGCATTTGTCCTTATAGGTAACATAAGTGTCCTTTCATTGGGACAAATGATTAAACACCAGGGCTCATTAGAAGCTAAATGAATGGCAAGTAGCCCTGTCCACAAGGTGCATAAAACGGTGAATTATGGCAAACTGGGAAGAGTTCGATAAAGAATACAAACTAGCCTCACTTTGCAAACATCAAAGTAAGCCCTCTTAGTACTTCCAATCAATAGTTGTCTGCTTATTGGAATGTGCAAATGTTCACACATTTTTCAAACAATGGTTGCTATTTGACTCAGGCTCGCAATTAGAATTTTGCTATTTTAGATATTCAAACTCCCTGGGGACCGCAAAATGATTTGAAAAAGCGGGCTGTTTGGCAAAACGAATTTACGCACTTCTATTTTGCTGAAGCAGTCAGATTATCACAGTTACGTCAAAAATAGCTTTAACGCCTCCCAGTACACTCATCAGGCATTTCGATGCATGGCCAAACTCTTGCGAATACATTCGCTACCTTCCCACACATGTTCAACTACGTAAAATTGTGTCTAGTTATAAGCGCCACTGATACCAGCAAAGCACTTTGGCGGCTTTCTCTGCTGCGTGTGCACACTCAAAACAATCGGTCCAGCCATCATTGTACACTTATTTACGCATTCATTTCAAACCTAATCTTTCATGGGACCTGCATATCAACTCCATTATGCCAAGGCTTCCAGGTCACTTATATACCTGCGCCGGAACTTGTGGAATACGCCAAGCATTGTAAGACAACTCGCCTATGAAACAATTGTTCGTCCACAGTTAAAATACGCTTCATTACTGTGGTCCCCTCATAAAATCTACCCAACTAACAAGCTCGACTCCATATAAAACAGGGCCGCTTGTTTCATTAGCTCCAACTACAGCCCCCATTCCAGCATAATGCAGATCAAACACGACATAGTGCTTGTGCGATTCAAAGTACGTCCTTCCGTTGCTCTTTTATCACTGTTCCAATGAAAGCACTTACATGCATATCATGCCGCTTACATAATCAATATAGCATTAAACACATAAGTGGGTGAACTAATGCTTTCAATTTATCAAGCTATTGTTTTATGGAATGATCTTCCTGATGAAATTGCATCCAAGTAACCATCAAGCATTTCTTGATCAATTGCATAAACATTTTTTGAAATAGCATGATGTGGTCACTATTTATCATTTTTTTTTCTGCAAAGTTGTCCTCTAATTTTATTTTTTTTTGCTAGGATGCGGCAAGTGTGTCTTTTTTCATGACATTGCCACTGAAATGCCACTGCTTTGTCCGAACATGCTTTGCGCTGTATGTATTATATATACGTACATGTTTTCCCTTCTTTTGTTTATATGTGTTTTTTTTGAAGTGTATCATTTATTTTTCTAATTTAATTATTCACTGTAGGCTTTTTTTCTTTTTGTTTCCTTGTATTTATTGATATATTTTTTTCTATTTACTTCATACTTGCCCCCCTTACTTAATGCCTTATCGGGCTCAGTAACGTATGATGAATAAATACATAAATCACGCATAAGTAAAACCCCTTCATTGGGGCCTTTGAGGTACTGTAAATAAATAAATAAACTTTTGCCAATACTCAGCATTTGCTGCCACATAAAACCAATTGTTCCTAGTTGTCATTTTAGTTGCACATTGGTCAGTTTAGTTGCACATTGCCAACTAAACTGACCCCATCACTGCATGCCTGAGCACTTGCTGTACAGTACACACATATGTCGGGAAAATGTTCATAATGCCCACTTCATTCCTAACCACAGACTGGGGCGACGATGGTGAGCAGCTTAGGTTCATGAAGGCAGACTGTTTGGGTAGCGCACTTAGCGGTCTCGCAGAAAGAGGCAGCATGAATGGCGGCATGGCGCCTTTCTGACGTACGCATACCACTAACAGTGCACTGCTAAGCCATATGCACTACTGGGCAATTAGCTGAAGATGCTTATCAAAAAAGTTGTCAGTGATTAAGCCATAATAGCACATTTTCCGCCTAATGCTATCACACCTTCTGTGCATTACCGGTGCTTATCCGCCGAGACATCGCCACACTCTGCGATACAATGGCCCCTTCATGTTTCCTACATGCATCACCACAGCACTTTATAGCACTGCAGCGAAGTTGCCTTACAAGTTTTGTTAACGCAGTAATGGAAGCAACTTTTTACTTTTTTTTTAGCAGAATTTGGAGCAGTAAGCGTGCCACTTGGGAGCAGCCACAACTGCTTTCGTAGCAGGGAAAATGCTAGTTTGGAGCAGCTATTGGTGTTTTAGGAGCAAATTGCAAAATATGACACATAACTCCAAGCATTTAAAGCATCACGGAAGTATCACATAAATATTAATATTTATTATGAAAGATGTTTCCCAGCCTATGATCAACATAAATAGAAAGCAACAAACAATTAGATTGCTTGTCAAATGCTCATAGTATGAGCTATATAATTAAAACAAAAATTTGATCCCTTTTCAACATATTACTCAAACAGCCTGCATATAAAATTTAAAATAGCAAAACGATTTGAAAGCTTGATATGCCAGTTCTTAATGCATAAATAAGATAAGAGCCGACAAAGTTGCATGTTCCCATACTAAAATCATAATCTACAAGCTGCTTCCTGTTTCTATAGAGATTTGAAGTGATGCTCTCTCTCAAATGCCGATCTGCGGTGCGCCTGTGCCGTCGCAGACTTTCTCAGAGCCAGTATGAAGCAGGTTCGGAGCAGTTACTAAGCACAATTCGAAGCAGCATGTAGCAGTTTGGAGCAAGTAAAACGGCACTGCCATCAATGCTATGGCCGCAAACTGATCGATTCACGAGAGCGCTGGTTTGAACCTGAGGTGGAGGCTTTTTTTAATTATGGCAGTTTCAGACCAGAGAGTCCAAAAAATAACACGAAGATTTACAGCATCCAAATTTTCAGGCCTCTTTTTACAGCGACGTCTACAGGACAAATTAGGAACACTAAACTCGAAAGGCAGTGAGCCTCTATCCATTTGCAGAAGTTGAAGGAGGACGAGAGGAGGAGGAAACACAGCTTTTCTTGTTTTACATCTAAAGTGCACTAGGATCCGGAGTGGTTGCCTCAATTTATGCAAATTATTACACCTCAGCCTCTGCATTGCTTCATTCTTAATGAGACAACTAGAGAACACCACCCCATCAACACTACACCAATCTCGCTAAAAAAAAATAAACACTTCCATTCCTATTTTATAAGAATATCAATAGTGGGAATGCCTTCCAGCATTTTGGAACAGCCATACGAGCAGTCAAAATCTGCTTTTCGAGCAGCTACAACTGTGTTTGGAGCACGCAGAGCCTTTCCATGACACACACAGCTGAAAAAAAGTTAACCTTAGTACAATGTTCCCTCAGTTTACATAATCATTTATACAGAAGAAGCAAGTACACAAAATAAGCACAAAATATAAACAAAAGTAGGCTTATGTACAGAAGCAGTGACATAAAATAGTGAAGGATATTGCACCAACAAACTAGCTCTAGCCTGAAATTCATAGCAGCGCACGTACACACACACACACTATACCACACACACATTCAAAGCTCAATACAGTAAAACCTTCTTGCTATGAACAGACAGGTCCACTGATAAATGGAACACTTGCATGCATGATATGTTTGGACTTCACTCTATTGAAAAAATACATCAGCTTAGATTTGCGTAAAGCTGCCACTGATTAACAGCTCATGACTTCCTTCGACAGACTAGTGCCGTGCATGAACATTGTTTATTTCTACACTTGCTATTAGAGGGCCGATAATATCAATGGTGCTCATTGTAGTGTTCCCTTT